AATGCGTTCACAAAAATCATTTTCATCATGATTCTTTCGTTGTTTCGTTAATAATTTTTTTTTTCCCATATTTTCATTAGTTCTTCCACACCTATCCTCAAACTTCGTTCTCTATTACTTTCTGACCTTCCTTTTTTTTTTTTTACTGCCCCTTTCTATCAGCTTACGGTACCGTTTACCGTTTGTCTAATTTCAACTCCACGTCACGTTCTCATTCCGTTTCCACTTGTAATCCCTTTTTCCAGACCAACTCTCTAATTGTCCCGTGTTTCCACTAGGGAAACATGCACGCAGGCGCCTCGCGGAGACAACAAGATCGGTTTCTTACTACTACGCGTTTTACATTTTAAATTATGAATTAACTTTGCCAATCTTCTTCCTAATTCTTCTTTTCATCACAGGAATTAATTGTTTAATTATAATCGTCGAAGGGAGTAAAGAAAATTCGAGAAAAAAAAAGTTGAGGATATTGAGAGAAAGATTTTATTAAATTTATATGGAATTTTTCAAGCTTAGATTCCAAGTTAGAAATTATGACTAATTTATTATAATATGCTTCATCTTTGTTGTTATATTAGGGAATATGAAGATTTGATAAATGAGATTGTTCAAATTTATTTGAAAAATATAATAAAATATGTTTATATCTAACTCATTAAATGACAATATTCCTTATATAAATTTATATATATTATAAAACTATATGAAATAAATAATAATTGCTTCAAACATTTTGCTACTAAACACTCTCTCGCTATAATAGATTATATAACACACGCCAAAGTATGACTTACTTAAGTAAGTAATTATAGTTATAAGTTAAATAAAAGTTATTGTCAAAAAACGATATTAAAAAAAAATTTGTTATTAATATTTATTGTTATTTGTTGTCCATTCTTTGACCGCTTTATTATAAATTCCATAAGCGTACGCTATCACTTTTCTCTTTTAATATTTGAATATTCATTTTTCAATTTTGGAAAATATTCGTCGATTATTCCATGAGAATAAAAGGAAGAAATGAAATATCTCTTTTTTTTCTACGTATTTTTTTTATTTACATATTTCATCAAAACCATATTAAGCCAAGATGACTAATTACTGGTTTACAAAAACTGAACGTTTATTTGACGTTTTTATATCGCAGCTTGTGCACATTCTGCGTTTCTTTCGTTGTTTTTATATATTTGTCGGTAACAATACTCGAATTTTTAATTAAAATATTATTTTTGTATGGTTGATATAAAATTTCTAATTCCTTTTGCGAAGAATACTTAAATCAAATCATAAAGTCACATTATATAAATCTGAATTTTAAATTTTGGAAAAATAACAATTTATATAATATACATAAATTAAATGCATTCAAGATTTTTAGAGTTTGAAAAATCAAAGAAAGTAAATTAACTTGATCTCAATAGATACTCATAGGATTTCGTCACTTTTAATTTCCAAATTATCATAATAATCATAATGTTTTAAATTATTTCATTTATTTATGAAATTTATTCGAGAAGAAATTTTATTCGTGACAAAATAAGAGAAAATTCATATGTTTACGCAAGCTTTCTCAATGGAAATTCCATTCAGTGTAAGTATAAAATACGCACGAAAAAGACTCGATCGTTATCCCCTTTCCCATTATTCTCTTTCATTGTTCTGAAATCCACATATCTTGGAACAGTAAGTCGTTTTGCAAACTGTGAAACGAATTGATCTCTCGAACCACGAATCGGCTGTACTTACGAATGAAATTATCTCTCAAGCTTCGACACTTTTGTCCAAATTAATAGTAAAAGAAGAGAGAAATTTCTATTGCTGAAATAATTGCATTGGATTAAAATGTAAAAATTACGTTAGAGAAAAATGTGATAATAAATTGTGATAATGTGAAAATTAAAATGCAATGAAATAAAAATCAAATATTTTACCAATATTTTCTTGACATATGAGAAATTTTGTCATCTATCATTTGTGAAAATAATGAAATTAAGATATGTCGGAAATGAAAATTATATATTTTTGTAACAGGTATTTTTGAAGCGATAAGATATATTAAATAATTCATTTATATATATGTTTAAAGTAGATGTATCGATGTCTTTTGATATTGCTTTGTTATCCTGTATCTGATCTTTATTATCTATATTGCGATCTGGGAATTCCGTTACACGAATGGTTGTCAGAAATTAGATCAAAGTGTTGCAGTTTGGTTAGGATCATGATTGTGCGTGTTAGGTCATGGATCTGTAATATGCCATATACTACTGGGAACATAATTGCAGCTTATCAAATGTTTATGCAACAATTCACAATGACATTAATATCGATTCTAACGAACGAAATAATTTAGCAAATTTTTTAAAATCCACAATTTTAATATATAAGCGCCGTAACATTTTTTTTCGAAAAACTAAAATTTCATCTATTAACGGGCTATTATATTATTTATCTGATTTTAATCAATTTATTCCATTTCCATCTATCTGTGATCGCCTTATTTTGACAATTGTCCATCTATATTATTTGCTGCATTATTGATAGTCACATATTTTTCTGTTCAATTTAAAAAGTATGTTCTATTTAAAAAATTGATTTATGTTAATATATATATTTGTTTGATCATAATTATTTTGTTTATCTTGTCTGATATGTACTTATTTGATTGTAACGAATTTATTTTATTTCCTTTGACAATAATTGATCTTTACCACTTATTCAGTCAAGTATTTATCTGACGATAAGGCAGGCCTATACCACTTGTTTGACCATAATAAATCTATTTTACTTCTCTAATCATAATTGATCTTTATCATTTGTTTGAAAAGAAATAAATTCTTCTTCCATTTTCTGATTATTGGCTGGCCTACACTATTTAATTAGAAAGTAATGAATCTTATAGAATATCTATATATATATTCTTAAAAAAGTATTTTAAAATAAAACCAGATAAATATCTGATTTTTATTTTCTACAAAGCGACAAATTCTCTGAATGGAAATATCTATTCTGGTTATCGAGAATAATGATGATACTACTCAAACAACTGACGACATTCAGCATCCTCGAATCGGTTGCTTGTTATTCTGGTATAGATAGTCGTTGGTCAAATACAGACGAAGCACAATATTCAATCAGAGATATTTCGAGTTGGTGACATTTGAACGAATAAAGAATCGATGATTTTGATGATCGATAGTTCACGGCTAGGATTCTAAGACAAGACACGTTATTAAATTTTTAATCAATTGTTCGTCTTATTATCCGGTTTTCATTCTATTGATCCATTCAGCGATGAAAGAAAGAAAGTCGAGTTTGCGAACGTAATTGAATGGATAAGAAACTCAAGGATCTGTGTGGTCAGGATCCAGGTAGGTTACTAAATTTATATCATCAGTCGGGGCACTTTTTGCGAGACTCATTAAGGTGATTCGCTTTTTATTTCCCTGTCTTTCATCTGGTCGATGATGTAATAAAAATTAATATGATGGTTAACCCTTTCGAGGCTAATGAGATATTACGTTCGTAAAGTAATTTTTATGTAAATTTTACCATTTTTTCTGATACCATTTACAAGAAACTTACTGAAAAGTGGTATAACATTAGAAGTGAGATTATTAATTTCATTTTGGAAATTAGACTTTATTTTTAATTACATGCTATTATAATATTATAGATGATACCATTCAATCCATTAACGAAAAAATTCAGTGATTTTTACATTCGTATTAAGTATATTACGACAATGTTTCTTAACTCTTGTAATGATATTAGATAAATGAAAATTTAAAATATTAATATTGTTTTCATCGTTGCAAAATATTGTCTTTAAATTAACTAACGAGAGAATTTCCATGATACTCTTGAAAAATACATCAATATAATTAGTATTAAAAATAAATAAACGACTTGATATATAAATGACTTCTTAGAAAACGACTATCAAAATGGTCATTATGGATCTATGTTATAATGATCATTGTAAACATCTTACATCGTGCATTAATTCTTAATCCACGTTAGCACCTTCCCAACTATGAATACCTAATTTACATGACAAAACAACAAAATTTACAACAAAATAAACACACATTCACCGCTTGATCCTTTCTCGCAAACTGCTACCATGTCAATGGAAGAATAGCTTGGCTCCTTACTCGGTGAATTTCTGGCCGATCTTTGGTCAGGTTGCGCATCGAGTTCCAGCAAATTTTTCGAGATACACCGGGATGAAAGGAGATATGCCGGCGACCTGGATGCTTGAATAGATCATTCTCGGTCGGGTTGCCGAATGTTCTGTTGCCATGCATCTGTGCAGGATGCATGCAATGGCGCGCATTCGTACTTTGATCACATCTCCGTTAGAATAGCTTTCACCTCTCTCTTCCTCCACCGTCCATTCTCTCTGTCTATCTCTGTCGAGCCCCGGATGATCGCGCAAAGCTTTTCGAAAGGAGACTTTGACGGGTATTTGCACACGCGCGAAAAATCGTTCTGCTATAACCGGATGTTTCCTTCCCAAACGATATTTTATATAGCTACTTGATAACGCGTTTCTTTCAGAATTATTTTTATCGAAATCGGATACACCGTTTTTCTCCCCTGACGCCTTTGAATATTCTTCTATCTCTTTTGCTCGCGCGCATGTGTGTACACGCTTGAAGCTGTGGAAATTCGATTCGAAACGCGGTAGCGAAATTGCATTCGTGTTTTCTAAATATCGCAACAGATATGTGTTTATCTCGCTTAAGAAATAGATTGTGCAAGGGAGTGTGAGTGTGCAAGTAGATTGCGAGCAGTGTTGCTGAAATTTTACAGGTGCACTGAACGAAATAAAGGAAATGTTGCGGTTTTCTTATTTCAACCTTGTAACTATAATTTTTTGAGAAAAGAATATATATATATAAAATACACTATGTACGTTGTCTTGTTAGATATAAAAGATGTTTTTTAATTTATGCTTGTTGATGCGAAAAAATTTTTTTCTTACACGTATATACGGTTTCGAGAAAATATTCGTGAAACAATATATATCTGGATTTGATAGGGTCCATTTCGATATAGCTCGATGTTACAGTCTTTCTTCCGATAATTCACATTTATCCCGGGATGTATATAGAACCATGACTGCGAACAACTAAATCATACGTCAAATACGTTTCTTTTTCACAATCCAAGTTATTATTGCATTCTCGACAATTCTATTACGAATTATACGATTGTCTGTGTTGCAGCGGTTAGATGGATATAATAAAGACCTCTATGTTCTAATAGACTTCCATCGATAATCGCACTTTTTGCTATAGCTTACGTTGATCATCGATAGCGAACATATTCTCGTTTATGATCTGAATTTCTACTTTCAAATCTCCAAAATCTCTCTTTATCAACTTTATCGCTACTGGTTTTAACTAACCTACACAAGAATAAGAATAAAACAACTACAAATAACTACGCGAGCATGTCGAAACTGCACGAACGCTTAACCACGAATTGATATGTCTATATCGAAAATAATTGTTATCCCATTTATCCCAAATAATCGTCTGAACCAAACTTCGCCAAGATCGAACCCTTTATCGAATCCGTTGGCCCATAAACATCAGTTGGCAAACGCATTGAAAGCAGCAAACATCAATTTTCAACCAAGTTATCCGACAGTGTACACAAACTGTCGCCATTTTGGCGGTATCGCATATTCATCGGAATATTCGGGAATTTTCCTTGAAGAAAGAGCCGCGTGTGGCCACCGTGGACTTTCATCGGTGTTTGGATTTCAGAGACGGTGTTCCGCGGTGGCCCGGTAAAATCAACAGACGTCGCGGAATATAAGAAGCTTCGGGGGATGCGAAAACCGGTGGACGATGTCGATGAGACCGGCCTGGGGGCCGAAGTTGTTTCTCGTGCTGGTGACGACCACGATCGTTATCGGCAATTATCAGCGTCATCGCGAGAGGATCCATTTGCGGGAGCAACTCGTTAACGGACACAAAGTGACGAGGAACATCACTCGATTGCAAGGTAAGTCGCGTTTCCTAACATTGTTCCGTTTCTACGGGTGGGGGATCGAAGAATATCAATCATTGTGTTAATTTAGGACAACGAGTGTTGTTTTATTGAATCAGATTAATTATCGTTTGCTATCCTGTTTTATATTCTTCTTAAAACATTGTGTATTTCGTTGTTTTAAATAAGAATTTTTTTGGGTAGATACAACGTTTAAAAATGAAAAGGAAGCATTGTAATTGATACTTTTTATCATGGTATATATTCTTATTTAATTTCTTATTTGTTTAATTTCTTTCTCTTGTAATGCAGATAATGAATATCTATTTTAATAATTCCTTTCTCTAAAAGTTCCTTTAATTTGGTAAGTTAAATTAGAAATTTGATTCTTGAAAAATCTCGTATATATTTTGAAACGCTAGATAGAAGAACAGACTATAATGTTACTTAATTATTTCTATTATTATAATATGGAAACTTGGAAACTTGAATTTGAAATTTACAAATAAATGCAGTTAGTTTCATTTTAATTTGCATAAATACTTTGCATTATCCATTATGATTTTGAAGTACTATATATATATTTTTAATAAAAATTAGATAATAATAGAATTCCTGACAATTTTTTTTATATTATTCATCGATTGACCAAAATTTGCTTAATATAAATATAATTTTAACAATATTGCACAATATTAAACGTTAAATAATGTATTGGTTTAATTTCGACACAACGAAATAAGAAATAGTTTGAGATATAAAGAATTAAGTCTCGTTTTAAAATGTATATTTAATTTATAATATGAGACGTTTTAATTATTCATATGTGCAGTTCTTACGTTATATATATTTTTATAAGAATTTATAAGTGATTCAGTCTGTATCCAACAAGAGACAGAAACTTTCAGTTTTTATTGAAGACGTCAATTCGAATTTTGCATACCATAGGAAACTCTTGTCACGAATAATCTTGTATAAAACGTGAGATAGTGATATAAGCGAGATTTTCACAATGTCTTATACGCGAACCAATATTTGAATAGACGACCCAAAGAACATGTATCAAATCATACGTGTTATATGCTAAAGTTTCGTGAAAAAAATAAACCATTCATAAATTTATAATTTTTCAAAATTTCTCGCGTCCATATTGCTTTTTTTTAATTAGATACATTACAAATGAATATATATATTCATTGTCAATTTTTTTTGCTAAGTATTTCATTTTAAAATACTTTAATTAAATATTCTTTTTTTAGAAAAAAGATACATGAAATTTTAGAATAAATTTCGAAAATATTTAAATTAAATAATCATAAGCAACAAACGAAACGAGGATAATTTAGAATTTAGAGGTATTTCTTCGTTAATTCTACAATTGAGAATGGAGTGCAAGTGAACTGTGCACTATTTTGACTCTTGTTTCGAAGACTTTTCTCTAACCGTGCAACAGAAAGCGAAGTAAACAACGTGAGAAAAAAAGCGCATAACAGCGTATGTTTTACGTCTTTCGAAGTATATACGTACAATATATATATTCTTTTCTCACTGTTCTCAATTTACTCCCAGGCGTAACAAAAGAAGTTGAAAAATAAAAGCTGAAGGTACAATTAAGGAAGGTGAAGAAATTTAGATAATCCTAATCTTAAAAATTATTCTATATAAAATATAGATTATTTCAAATAAATATACTACAATTTTTTTCAAACAAGATTTATATAAAATCTTGTTGAATGAGTAAATTTAAATGCATTTTTTTTCAATTCAAAAACTCATAAATAGTAGATTGCGAATATTTATACAAATTCTTATTAATTAATAATTAAAAATTTGAAAATTTAAATAAAGATTTATTTCTTTTTTTTAAATATAATAAGGACAGACTATATCTTAAGCTAACTTTTAGCGAAGATTATAGAATTATAATTATTCTCGTATCATTTATACTTTAATATGGAATTCCATCGGAAATAGAGTCATACATTCCATTTTGGAAATTAATTAAACCTACTTTTTTATTCATTCATTATATTTCTACTTCATCGTACAATCGTTCATCCAATCAATTAAAAAAAAGAAAAAATTCATTAGCAAAATCCTTTCGAGGAGATTCAAAGGCGAAATTTCTAAACTCTAAACATAATCCAGCTTTTAGGATTAAACATTCAGGATAATCGTACGAAAAGTAAGATTTCCAAAGTCTCATAAATGATAACAAAAACCTTTGAAGCTAGTATCAAAGACAAAGCGTCCTCCGAAGTAAAAAGGGAATTGACAACTATAAAAGCAATTTCAGCCACGTCCGCGCGACGAAGGGCGGAACAAGACAGAGAGAAGAGCGGATATATCGCGAGTTGATATTCGACTACACCCGTACCGTGGATCGATCTTCCATGAAAAACGAAGTGGCAACGTCACGTCGCCGCGTCATTTTCGATAACACCAACTACGACGAGCAACCATTCTGCATACGTTCCATCGCGTGCTCGCCGAATTTATCGCCGATTTATCCGCCGTAAAATTCCCTCGTCACATCCTCTCATTCTGTGAAACGGGACAATGATGGAAACACGATCGAACGACTCCTTAATTCCGTTCTCGAGTGTTTCGCCCTCCCTCCATTTGGAAATTTTTGTCGCGCAATGCTTCGAGCGAATTTGTACCGAGAGAAATTTTTATTACCGGCGAAAGCTTTTTCACAAAGGAGTTTTTAAAAGTTTTTTCCTTTCACCGAAGTCATTTTGCCGGTGAATTTTTGTCCCGTTTGAAACAGGAAAAGAATGTTAAAGGTGGAGAAGGTTAACATCTACTTGTGAATTAATTTTGTGGAATGTGGTGCGAGGAGAGAAATGGAGCTCGAGGTTTTTCAGCGTGTTTCGAAATAATTACAAAGATATAATAAATGAAGAGCATGAATCAGGCATTGGATATTTTGTTCCATGATGTTATTGAAATTATTTATCGTTGAAGTGGAATTGAGGTAGATATACGAGGGAATATATACGTAATGCAAATGCGCATTAAAAATGTGTAAATTATACTCATACTTTCAAGGAAATATATTATTCGCGACATGGCAATTACGCGTTAACCTTAATTATAGTTAATTACTTTTGCATCCTCGTTAGGTAAAAATTTATTTTAACTGGGAAAAAATAGAAATGGAGATAAAAGTTAACATAACGTATGGTAAATCTTGAATACTATCTTCTGTGCAGTTAGAATTACTTTCGATCTATCCAAGATTAGATCCTCTCAATTTATTACTGCTTTGGGATTTACACTCGAGACTAACTTTGGATGTTGACCTAAACGACGAATCAGTTCAATTAGTCCTCGAACACCTGTCTATCCGAGTACTAAAGTCTCTAAAGTTGGGACGCAAACCTGATCCGAAAGGGATGATCCTATGTTCACTACTTGTAGAATTATGTATTACATTGCATCGTTGTTAAATTAAATATTTAAAAGGAACTATAACTTGTATATATGTGATTTTTATGGATATAAAATATTTTTAAATCGAATATGAGAAAGAAAAAAATTCTCAAAAGTTGCTAGTTATTTGTGTGATGAATATCGAGAAATATAATATTGCATTTCTTTCCTTATTGAAAAATAAATACATCATCCTCGTTATAAATTCTAATTTCAATAACAAAGAATATTAAATAATGAATTGCATTTGGCGCATGACTGTGATAAATAAAAAAGTAGAAATGTCGCATTTCTTTTTTTATCGATCCAGAATAATTGTCAAATGTTATTAGAAATAAAATTTTATAACTTATATAATCCATGAAACAGAATTTGCAGAATTGCCAAACCTCGATCTGACTCTATTTTATTACGAGAATGTTTCAAAGTAACGAAAAACAAACACGGAAAACCAATAAAGGCGTAGAGTGTTTAATTACATTCTTTATAGAGAAACGGATCGTCGTTTCCTTCTTACGCTTAAATTTGTTTTACAATCTCATCATCTGTCGATTCGTTAGAACACTAGTGAAACGTGATCCAGCAAATTTTACCATTATTTTGTCGCGACGAAATATATATTTCGTCATTTTATCTTTCTCGTTGCATTATAAATCGCGTGATTGGTGTCGAGAGATGCCTGAAACAGGAACGGAGAAGAAAGACAAGGGACAGTTGTCTTCGTTTTAATTATGCTCGAGGCTTATCGTTGTTATTTAACTCGTGAAAAAATCAGGTGCAGTTATATCGGAAAAAACTACGTATAATTAATTGTTATTTAACGCGCCGGAATCTCGTTATGAAGTATCGACGTAAATTAGAAAAGTTTCTCGCTTATATTGTATCGTGCAACGTCCAGCAACGAATCTATTCTCGCTTTAATAAACGCCTGACAAATTGGAACAAAAAATTTGGAACGAAAAAAAAAGAAAAATGTATGCTTTTTTGGATATTATAAATACAACATTTAAAATCTCAAACGAAATTATAATTTTTTTAATTAACGCAATGGCATCATCTCTATTCAACAGTTAAATCTGATTAAATTGAATTGATGATTGTGTAAGCAACAACACAATTCACTTAGTTCACAATTCATTGTTCAAAATTGTATGCTAAACATCTTGCGTCTAGAGATTCCTCGTTGTGAAGTTAGGAGTGGATTCATACCAATGCAATGAACCTGATTCAATGTACAAGTAATTACATATTGTATCCGCCCCCTATTGTTTTGTCAGAAACTGTTGCAAGGACAGGTTTGTCTAATATATGTTCATTAGGCACATATAGAAATAAAGAAATTAATCATACATCGATATAAGAAAGATAAGAAACGAATTGTTAAATTATTTGATCGATTGAAAGATTATTTAAAATTTATTAGATATGTTTTATGGCAATCGATTGCTTCTACACACGTACAATTTTTAATGAAAATTAAATTCCTTTTTGATTTGTTTATATATTTTTACATTTATTTCGATATCTGAAATTAATAACGTATATGAAATGATTATAAAAATTGTTTATATATAATC